TCAGTGCTTCAGCCTCTCAATACTGAATGGCCAAGGAATCTGTTCCAGTGGCATTTTGCAAATCCTATCTGCTTCTAAGCTACTTTAACCTCAAATAATAAATCTGCTCTGGGTCTGAAGCAATAGAGGGACACACTAAACATACAATCATTTCAGAACTGAAATACCTTAGAATGTAGAAATGAGTCTTTATAAACATTCATGGCCAATATTTTGCAAAAGTAAGCAACCCTTTATCACTCTTACCTTTCCATAATCCAGCTCCTGAGATGCACAAAAGGGATGTGTAGCAAGGCTCCAGCTGACAGGGAGCTGCTGGTGGGAGAAGTGCTCCTCCCTTCCCCTGCCTGCCCAGCTGCCTCACATACAGCTCTGGGAGCAGGGAAACAAGACTGGAAATGGCTTCAAGGTGTGTGGTGGTGAAATTCTCTTCAAAGACATGAACAGGAAAAGGAGCAGCAAAAGCCACAAAAGCCCCCTAGGCTGCTTTTTCCTAGTAGCTTTTAAATTCCTTTTAGCATCTAAACCCAACAAAGCAGCTTTCTGATGCATTGCATTTGAGGTTGTCTCTTGCTACAATACAGCTTACATCATATTTCACTGGTTTAGTCACCAGTGTCAATCACTTTCCCCACCTATTAAGTAGAGTTTCTTCACCTGTTTTGCAGAGGAAATGGTGACTGAGCTGAAAAGGGAGGAAAAAAAACCCAGACCAAAACCAACACACTCAGAGCTAGTACTATATATTTACTTAGAAACAGAAACAAATATTGCCCAGTTCCAGTACACTTATTGTTTACCAAGAACACTGTAGCTTCAGTTCAGTTGTTAGTGCCAGTCATCTTTGTGCACTCATTAAAGTGAAATATGGTAAATGGATGCAGTGGCAGCCCAAAATGACAGCTGATGGTGTGAGGAAGGGTAATAGACCCTTTTACCCTCTATGCCTCAATTCCTCATATGTGCATTTAGGGAGGATAGAGTGGTTAATTGTCTCCCTAGATACTAAATAATCCATCATATGGTTCCTTATCATCCCATCCAGAGGATTTTGTTAATTTTGAAATCTTCTTTACCTGAATAATCATTAGCTCTCCCTTTGAGATAATAATATTTACCCCTAAACCCCCATGGTTTCATTTCTTACCTTGGTCTTTATCTCACGGGACTTTCCCTTTCCCTTTCCCTTTCCCTTTCCCTTTCCCTTTCCCTTTCCCTTTCCCTTTCCCTTTCCCTTTCCCTTTCCCCCATAAATTAACAGAATCCTAAACCAATCTAAATATTCTGAATATACTAATAGAGTAATTTATTAGTCATTCAAGTCCTATAAAAATATTTCTTTGCTCATTTCTCTTTTATTAAAAATTCTGTTCTGTGGAATTAATTTCTATTGTAAACTTATATACAAGCAGTGTATATAACTTTTGCAGTAACAGAGATTTGTACACTGTAGTACAACTCTGCCTGAAAGGTTTTAACCTTTCCAAGCTATATACAGGTCATAGTAAAGCCCTGTTTTTTTAGTCACTGGATAATAATTTACACGTGTAAATAGTGTTATTTCACGGTGGAGCTTAGAAGAAGTATTCAAAAAATGAATCTTTTTACTTTTGGGTTTTTACACCCATTTAGTGGGAAAGTTACCAAGGCCCTATTACAGGAGAAAGTAGATTATTCACAGAATTGGATGACAAAAAACTTATAACTGAAAAAAGTTATTCAAACCTACCATCCCAAATGAAACTATTACAGTGTCCCAGTCCTGAGAGCTGGTAGTCATGTGCTTAATGACAGATTTGCATTAGCTTGCGGGTCTGGGTTTGACCCACAGAGTAATTCAATAGTCCTCCACTTTTTGTTACAGAAAATTTATGAGTCTAGGATGAAGGGGTATTAGATATCGGCATTCATTCCTCTGGTGGTTTGGGATCTATTTTAAAAGACCCTGACTGCTGACATTATTAGTGAATTAATTGCTTCTACTTAGTCTCTTCATAGACAATTATGTAGGATTGCCTCTCAGAAGTCTGTAATGAAAGTAGAGCTGAAACCCCAGCACTGAAAAAAAAAATCTTACTGGTTTTGAGCCAAATGATAGAGCATTTTACATGTGAAGGAGGAGCTTTGTGAGGCTTACTTCTAAATTTAGAAAATTTTATATTGCATCTGTAAAGAAATATGTTGGAGCTAAACAACCAAGCAATTCAAAACTCAGCTTTTTTTATTTCAGGTGTTACATTCACACACATGCATATATATTTTACAGACTTTGAGATACTATCAATATTTATGAATATTCTGTACATTTATTGGAAGTAATGCTATAGTTTTTCTACAGTTACAAAAAAATATGAATAATTCTGAATCGAACCACCTTTTAATTCTAATCAAAACTCATAGAGATTATTTCTAGTAGGAGGATGCCTACAATGAACATAACCCAACAATATCTACTCTTCTTAATGTGGCAGTTCACTTCATTAATGTGCCAAAACTAGATGAATCATAGGTCTATAATTATGCTATTAAAGACAACTAGAAGTGGATAGATCATATATGCTTCAAAGACTCCATCTTTTAAAACACAGAGGGGAAAAAAAAGAATACAATAAAATCAGAGTATGTTAGATACAGAATAATCTTATTGTGCAAATATCCACAGCTGAAGGAAATAGAACAAAGGCAAGTATTTGCTATTATTCAACAGCAAGTGGAATTATTATTCAATAGGACTGGAACATTCATAATACTAGGTATGGTGCTAATGAAATAATCCAAAACATTTTTAAATGTATCCAAGATTTTTTTTTTTTTTTTTTAATGTTGGAAGAGGGAGTAAAAGAAAGCACAAAGGAAAGAAGCATAGAGGAAAGAAAAGGCAACAAAATTTGATATCCACATTAGCAGCTGGGTAGAAGATTGTGAAAAATAAAATGACCAAAGGCAGCTTCTAAATGAGAAATTATAAAACTGCAGACTTGAGTCATAAATATCTAGTCTGTGAATTCAAAATAATTTAGAGTATATTTTAGTTTAAGTTTGATATTCATTTATGAAAACTCCTGAATCAGGGTCTCATTAAGGATAATAAATAGCTCTAGAAAGAAGTCATTATTAGCCAAATAAGTATTCTTAAAAGGAAGTACAAGGTGTACTGAAATAACTCAATAAGAAGATTGTGGAAGAAATAAAGGCACATTTTTAAAATGGTGTGTACAAGTTCAGCAAAAAGGCCTTATGCTGTGCTTGGAATTACCCACCAGCAAAATGTTTGGCTATACTGCTCCCCTGATGCTGAAAAATTACTTTGCATGGGAAAAAAAACTTTATAAAAAGAGAAAAATCAATCCCAGATAGCAGAGGAACAATAATAAATTGAAAATAGGACTGTCTCTTATGTTAAGAAACCTCTGTAGAGCTGTGAAGGAATAAAGAAGCTTTAGTTCTAATAAGGATAAAGCTTTTTAAGAAAAAGCTGATGACTGAGAAAATGCAGGGAAGATGCTTTCCTCTCCAACTTCTCTGAAAACCCATTCAAACAAAATAAAACCTGATAAAGTGTTATATTTCATAAGGGATGTTTACACACCAGAAAAGAGGACACAGCTTACATCTCACATATGACAGATCCTTGAGAACACGTACGTGCATTTCCTGTTTTTCTCGGAATGCGGCAGCTTGGATGGAAACAATGGCATCCGGAAACTTTGCTGGCTCTAGCAAAACTTGGCATAAATATGAATGGCTTCAAAGGCTTCAGATGAAAAAAAAAAATTCCTCAGGCAAGTGAAAAACAGGTATCAGGATTATCCAGTTAAAGTTTTGGGGCACCTCGGTGGTTGTCATGGTCATGAGCTGCCCAGCTGGCAGCTGGAAGTTTGATATTTGTTTATGAAAACTCCTGAATCAGGGTCTCACTAAAGATAATAAATAGGACTAGAAAGAAATCAACAAACATTAGATGAGATAATGTAAATGGCTAGAGCATAATAATTTAATAATATGTCTTTGCCAAATAGATCAAATGATCTCATTCCCTTTCTCAGAAAGTCTTCTGGTAAGAGTCTGCAGATTTTCAAAAGGAACAAAATAGGAACTCTGAAAATCCATACAATTTCAAAGTGATAGAAAGCTTTTCTGTAGTTTTCCTTTTTAATCATCCTGTTATATGTTACAGAAGATACATTTTTTTCCTCTCTTATGTTTTGTGGGATACAGATAAAAAATTTGCAGGAGAGAGCTTTGTGCAGAGAGCACTGCTTTTTCTTCCATGCACCTTGCCTTTAAGGTTGCCCTTTTCCTAGGCTGAAGAACCATCATCTCAACACCAGCACCAGTTTTCAGCATAAAACAGTGGGCAGCTGCAGAGACACCCCCCCCCCCCTAATCTGGGAAGGGTGGAAAGAATCACAATTTTATTAATTAATAAATATTAATGTTATTAATATTAATGTTTAAATGATTATATGTTATTTTATGAAATAAATGTAGAGCCACCTATCAAAAAATTGGATGATTAAATATATATATGTGAAGCCTGAAAGGAATGTGTTTTTAAAAGGAGCAATAGGAAACAAAAGTAGTGACTATGTCACACTGCCAGCAGTGTCAAGCCTGTGTGATTAGAAGGTCAATATGTCTGTAGCAGCAAGAAAGTATATATTGTGAGAAATTATAGAAGGTATGTTGTCATGTTAGTCCCCTTCATGCAGTGAAAGGTCAGTGATCCACTGTGGAAGAAAGATGACAATTTCTGTGTAAGACTGACTGACAGCACAGATGCTGTTGGACATTGTGTATGGTGTCAGAAGACCAGTGGACAGTAAAGCAGTTTTAGCTTTATTTTAGATTTTAGAGCCAAGAGCAAAGTAAACTCGTGTCCAGCTTTCATGAAAAATGGCACCTGAAACATTTAATCACATATTTATAACTCCTATTTATAAACCCCTTGTAATTAACTGTGTCAATAAACCCTTTCAGAGAAAATGGACAGGGTTGCTTTCTCTACAGTTTAGTCCTGCAGCTTTCAGTGTAGCTATTGACAGGCAAGAAGAAAATCTGTGGCTGTCAGAGCAGTTTACATTGACCATCTGGAAGGGAAAGGAAGAAATGTTAGCAGCACAATATCATAATGAACCATACCCTGTCCCACTTTACCTCACTTGCTATGGGTTTGGTGTGAAGGGATTTGATTTCACCTGAAAATTTCTGAAGAGTTTTCTCTCCCAAACACAAAGGCCCTGATTCTCTTTAGATATATAAGTTGCAAGTACCTCCACTGATGCAAAATATGTTTAAGGAGAGTCAAATCCTTACTTTCCAGCTGTCCCTGGTACTTAGATAAAATGTAGCTCATAATTCTCTTTTTACCTGTGCGTCGGTCTCACAAACACAGGGCCTTGTTACTGTCCTTGAGGAATGTTTTAGAGCTCCATCAGGCTTATTCAAACAATGCATAAGAGTTCTTACAGAACTCAATTACTGCTCAAGTGGAAGAATAGGTAATTGGACAACACTCATCAGTTTTGGAATAAATGATATTAGGTGCCAGGTCTGAAAAGCAAACCTTTGGGTTATAATAGAAAAGAGAGATTAATTTAATGAAAGACAAAAAATTCCAGTTCTCCTAGGTTAGAAATAATGAAACAAAAACTTTTCACTGTATTTCAGATAGTAGTAAAAGAGAAGGTGCATGTACACTTGGCATTTTAAATTATCTAAGCTCCTTACAAATGAGAGAAGGAACCATGGTTAGAAGTTTCTCAAATTATTCTTGTATCAAAAAGGTTTCATCCCTATATAACCTTTATCAAACTGTGACTCAGAAGAAGTATTAATATGAAGTTTTATGCGTGCAGATGGGAAACTGAAATCTATTCACTAACTTTATTCTACTTTAAATTAATTTCTAAATAGAAGCATTGATTCAAATATACATGAATGGAGCAATGTGTATATATTTTCTTAAATGTACTTTTGGTGGTTACTTTTTCTCAAGTATCATTACAATGTCTAAAAATAATATGGACAATTGATTTTAGAATGAAGCAATAAAAAACAGGGATTCCTAAACTGTTTGTAAAAGGAACAGACAAAGTTATAAGAGAAATTTAGTCTATATTTGCATATTCAATCCATTGTTAACACATGGTTATTAAATGGAAGGGATGTATTGCATGATTATTGCTTCTTTTAAATATACTAAAGCTGAAATGTTAACCAAATCCCCCAAAATATGGAATATTTTGAGTAACATCAAGTTCACATCTTGAAATATAGTCATAAAATATTTCAAAGGAAGCCAAGGTTAATGAAAAGTAGTGGCGATATGCATAAGGTTACAGCTAATTTTTGTGAATAGACAAGATTCAATGTGCAACTTCAATGGTCCCGTAATCAAGTCTGTTTGGCCTGAACTTTTTATTCAGAAAGAATGCAGCTGCTGAGTCAACTAATTTACTTTTTTATGAATTTGCAGTCCTAATGGAGCTGTGTTGCCAAGAATATATATTGTGCATAAGACTATATATTGTGCATATATATGTATATATAAAATCAGACATTATAGATAAATGTTTGATATGGATGGGTGGTGGTACATTTGCAGATTTAAATAATGGCACCAATAATTAAAGAAAATATAAAAGCTACAGGTAATTGAAGCACATAAGTTATACAATAATCAATTGAGGAGCATAAAATAGATATGGTCAAATGTTTTTGAAAAAAAAAACCTGAAAAAAAAACAATAAATGCATGAATTTTAATGATTTTAGATTCAAAATAGTGCAGGCTCCTTTTTGCTTTTACAGATGTTGTTATATTTTGAATGGTATAGTAAAATATTCATTTCACTATACCATTCAAAATGAGGATGGTATAGTGAAACAAATATTTCACTGAGGTCTGGATGTAACCTTGGAGTCTAATGACTTGTGCAGTTACTCAGGATGAGGAAAAGTGGGGTTCCTGCACTAATGACTGTTCGTGTTCTATATTCAACAATAATTGTACAAAACGCATAAATATTCATAGGGTTGAGACTCTCTCTCCCTGCAGATGAGTGTTCTCATGCTCAGGTGAAAGCTATGCTCGATTTTCCTGTCAGTGTTTGATTTGACCTCATGGTTTCTCTGGTGATGAGGTGGGACAGGTCAGTGCTTTGGCAACTCTTCAGTTCACTGCTCATTTAAATTGGGCTTTGTCAAAAGAGAAAATGCACACAGATTTACATGTACCCTCTTCCTTAATATGTCTTTAGCTATTCCATCCTAGAAGGATATTGTATTTCCAATACCCTGTTGGAAATAGGGTACTTTGGGCATTTAAATGTATGGATCAAATTTTAAGAGAGATCCACATGAAGGAAAAGAAGGCACATCAGAGAAAATATATTCCTGTGAGTGAGATGAAGACCAAATCTGAATGTTCACAGTCACCAAGTATATGTTGCATTTCATCTATTTTCCATAGTACAGAGTTCATTTTGCAAATTGCAAGAAAAAAAATCTGGTTTTACGTGAATAAAAATTGAAGTAAAAATTCCTAACTTTTTGTTAAATTTATAAACCATTTCCCCCTATACAGAAAAAAAAAAAAGAAAGCAAGCTACAAAGCTACAACTTTGCTTTTACTTTTGTCAGAATAGCGATTTCTGAATAGCAAGTTAACTTTAGCAGCAGGGTCAGTAACATTGCCACATTGATCAATAATGGTGTCTCCTTTTTATTCCTTTTTTTTATTATCATTCAGCAGTGTCACTCCCCATCCATTACACTTTTCACAAAAACTGTTTGCTGACTCTAGCAAGACGCACATTTGTGCACAATTCATCAGAACAGTCCCTAGGAGATGTTGCAAAGGCTGTGAGAAAGGGGACACGCCCCCTTCATGTTCCCTTCACTTTAGCCTCTTTTCCTACTTCCCTTCCCAAGGATCCTCTACCAGAGTTCCTCTCTTAACTGATATCATCTTTGTCTGCTTCTTGTACTTGGTTTAATCTGTGCCCAGTCTCTGTTGCCAGCTGTAAAGTGTTCCATGGTTATTTGAGAATAGCAAGTTTAAAAGAGGGATGGAGAAGGTTAATTACAACAGCATAATTAATATAGTTCCTACTGAAGTAAATGGCAGTTTTGTCATTTTATGTAACACAAGCAGGATTACACTAATTATAGTTTCATAATCTCCCCATTAGAGAAGCACAACAGCAACTCCATTAAAACATATTGCTTAACATTATATTCCCTGCTGACCAGATCCATAAAATAGAACTTTCGATGTTTGAGACATGAGATATGTAACATGATGTTATGCCAGGAAATAGCCATGCTCAATCATTCCCATTATGTAAAATTCACAATTTTCCCTATTTTAATTTCCAAAACAATCACACATAAATCTTTTCTCAAATATACTGAGTGGAATTCTCAGCTTAATTTTTCTCTTTGTAATGTAAGAATTTCAGCCTAATAAGAGAAGAAAGAGCTCAGCATTAATTTGGCACAGGAAAATTTGCAATTGGGGGGAAAAACAGACTACTGAAAGGTGCAGTCTTCTAACCCATTACCAATTTTTCTGTTTTTTTAAACTCTATTTCTCCCCCTCCCTGATTTTACATAAATAAAAAAAGAAATGAATGCATTATTATGGCATTAGGGAAACAATCCTACTTCCAGGACTAGACTTTGCATTATTCATGCACAAGGAGGCCCATGATGCCCTTCCAAAGCACTGCACAGCTGTGATTTCCAGATCTTTTAGGAGTTATATTTTCACTGAAGTCAACAATGCCAACTCAGCACAAAACTTGATGACAGATTCCAAACACCTGTGGGAAGTAGGTCAGAACTAGAACTCGCATAAAAAAAAAAACCCCAAGCAACCAAAAAGCAAACCCTCTTCTCTGCAAAACCTAATTTAATTATGTCAGCCACCAAAGTGATGCCATAAGTAGAACAGTCCTTGTAATGTTTTTTAAATCAAAAAGATACTGTGGAGAGATTTTCAGAAGATGGATCAGCCCATCTACAGTAGTTTCACTTCAATGAAAATTTGCCAAGATCTACAGATTTGGAAGGAACCACATCTTTTTGTGGCATATAACCACATAAAGATTTCTCCCATGCTGCTAGTTCTTCACATTAATTCATTAATATGGATGTTTTTGCATAGATTTTATTCTCTCTTTACCTATGGTATTAGTTGCATCTTTTATTTTTTTCTCTGCTAACTTGGATTTAGCACTTTTGTTCTTTCTTTTCAGCATCATAAGGTTTTAAAAATATAACAGGTAATTTAAAAATAAAAACTGTCAGGAGTTTTGTAGGTAGCCACTGTTTAAGCATTTAATTTTTCTTACATTCAACCCACTATACTTCTGTGCCTGGTTTTTACCCTCAGTTTTCTGTAAGAAGGTAGATAAGAGGTAGATCTGCACAGAACAAAAAAGCCCATATAAAGTGAACCTTTATTCACCATATGCTCATAATTGGCTTACAAATCCAGAGGATTCTATGGCTTAAATGTACATAGTCTAAGTGCCTAAATGCATCTTAAAGCAAATTGTGATGCACCAATGTTGAGAGTTATTTTTGTGAACCCTATTTCAATTATGTGTCTAATATAGGATAATGCTAAACAGAACTGAGTTACAAAATTAAATAAATAAAAATATAATAATAGTATAGATATAAAAATAATAATATTATAATTAAATGAAAATGTTAACATCATATCAATATTGACATTAGTTCATCACCTTGAAAAATTCCTAAACTCTAAAAGATTGTAGGTTTCTACAAATATTTTTAATTTCTAATCTACAGTTTTCTTTAGCATTGTCACAACCTGCTGAATAGATACAGACATGGCTCAAAATTGGCAGCTGAAAACTAAATTCTAAATAGTGAAGTGATACTTCTGTATTTACCCACATATACGTGTACTACACGTATAATATCTTACAGCAGGCCCACTGACGCTATAGATATTAATGATATAGTAGCCTAAACTAATCATTAGCACACATTTTTAAGAATATCAATATGTACTTAGACTGGAAAATACTTGAAATCAATTTCCAGAGCAATCA